ATAAGTATAGGTGCATATGTATTAATTATTATTACTTATACAATGCAATAAAATTTGAATTAATATATCAATAAAAATCATACAAATGTATGATAAAAGTATATATAATATTTTAAGACCTACATATTTTTGGTTTGAATTTGGTAAACTTACAATCTGTATTTATTAAAACAATAAATACCTACAAAAATACCTATGACTGACATTAACACACGAATAATAGTATAAAACATCATCCCATGAAGCACAAGATGAACGAAATAATCCTGCGACGAAACCCGCCGGCTACCTACCTACCAAACACCTCTTTTTTGAGTTTTGGTAAAATAGAACATTTAGTTTAAACCCAAACAGAAAATAGCTTCGTTCCAATCTATTACATATACATTTATACTTTCAATAATATTATATTGGGAAAAGTTTACATTTGTCAATTTAAACAAAATATTAATAACGAAAAAGAAATAAGGTATTATATATAAATATTTAGAATAATACAGACAACAATACATGCAATATGGTGGGTGATGAACTCATTTTCCTTTAATAATTATAGTTTATTCGAATTCTGATTTTTGAAATTTTTAACTATAATTTAGCTTAATATACATATTTCAAATTATGTTCCTTTTTCACTCATTTAAGAGAAGTGTCCTACGATGATGCAATTCTTTTTCTTTATAAGATTTTAAAATGTTTTGTTTTAAATTATCAAGCAGAATATTTTTTTTAAATGTTGAACAAACTGAATGTAAATTCAAATGTTATTAGTTTCTGTAGCACACTTAAAATTCTGAAAATCAGAATTCGATTAAACTCGTTATAAAACGAAAAAGTTCAAACCCCACACACCCGGCACATTGATCATGATATCCGTATAAAATCTTGTCCTGCATAATTCTACTACCTAAAATATATAATACTAATAACAATGTGTAATGTAGCTAGAGAATCTATTAAGCCGCAGTGACCGAAAACCATTAAATTGATCGAATAAAAGAAATGGTTTAAATTTGCGTTTTCGAGTATAAGGCAGTGCGGATAGGTAATTTGCATAATATATTATTGTATTTTAAAACTGACATTTTTTCTTTGCCGTATTGAAAATGCGGGCGTTATGGTTTACGGAACAAAAGGATGTATATAGAACGTACCTGTAACGAAACGTTTCCTCCGAATCTATACAACAACAATCGTTTGCGAAAATATGACGGCAAGAACAATAGCGACGGTGGTTTTTGTACAATGCGGATAATATTTATTTTCCAACGATCGAATTCTGCACAATACATATATATATATACCACCATGTATTAGTTGTACTACTGCCTCACTGTGAATTTATACATTGGTCATATACACGTGCACAGGAAACGGATTTCTATCTGCCTCGTAATCGTCGAGTGAGCATCCCGCCGTAGCCACCGTGTAATACATATATAATATATATATATATATATATATAGATATATATATATGAACGTAAAAATATCTCTTTATGTCCGCCGATTCGCTAAACGACTAAAATAGTTTCGGATGTTTTTTTTTTTATCTACTTTCAGTTTTTCACCGACGATTATCGCTCCCACGAAGATTATTGGGTTTTCGACTCGTATCGTCTTCAGTTCTTTATAATATTGAATTCCGATACCGGTCTACGATACTACTATTATATTGTTTGCGGTCGCTGATTTATGTTTTATCGTTAAAATAGATTATATTATTATTATTCTGTTTCCACTTACCCATCCCAACTATTCAGAAGAGTTATTTGAATCTTTAATCAAACAACCTACACAGCTCGTATACGATTACGTAGGTGACGTTCAAAAATCATATTTCGTGTACAGTTTTTACAAAAACCGCATAATTTTAGTAATTTTTATAGGTTCTTACATGTAGGTACTGCAGTACCGCGATCAACGTACCTTGACATAATATTAATGTGAGTGAGTTAATTAAAAAATATCATATTAGGCGTATACCTACACTGCACCAAACTATAACAAGTTTATAATAAATTATGTTTTATGAGTTGTAAAATTGTTCAAACGAAAGAGTTAAAATGGGCGGTCCTCGACAAAGGCCGGATCGGGTTGTTCGTGTTTATCGGGCATCGCAGCATCATCATTGTTTTTCTCACAATATTGCCGACATACAGCAGTCGTGCTGATATTACAGTGCAGTTGTTGCGTACCGGTAAATTCTACAGCCGACGCGTCTCGGCTCTGGAATTCGTTTAACGTTGAAAAACGCGATACATAGTTGGAGGTGGATACGGTGGCGATGGCGATGGCGGTGGGTGGAGGTGCTGGATGGGTGGAGCAGAGTCTGAAATGCCGTTTCAACGCGAACCACTGCACAAAATCGTCGTAGTTTATCCTGAGCAGATAAATTCTCGGTAACGGACGTTGTTGTGGCAGTTTATCCAGTTGGGCGTTATGGCTCGATGAGATTCGTTGAAAACGCAATTGATCAGCAAATTTTACTGTTTGTAATTGCAATGTTCCCAGAAATACGACGACAAGTTATTATACAAATAAAAAATATGGCTTTTGATACGGAATTGCTATATATACACTAAAAACAGCTGAGGTGTAATAATCAATAGGTATAATAGTTGACAGTTGTATATTGTTGTGGTACGCACGAACCGATTTTGAAAAAAACCTTTAACATGTAAACCTCGCAACTTATGCTATACGGAAAGCATAGTTGCGAAATTTATTAATCGGCAATAAAATAGGCTAAAATGTTTGAAACACAGTTCTGCAAAATTATAAAAGTAAAGCGATGAGTAAATTGTTTTATTAATTTATATAATAAATTTATATATAAAATATTTTATACCTGAAGACACATTTTATGCCGGGAAAAATGCTTCAGTATCGAAGGTGATTTCCCGTAGAAAATTGGATATAGTTCGCACATAAATCAATTATTTATTGATAACGTTATTTTTTTTCAAAGTCGAAAGCTTTAAAATATAAAACGTGATTTCTATAATTTGACGAGGTACCTTCACTGCTTGAAATCCAAAACCATACAGCAAAGTCACTTTCTTTTAGATTCGGTTTATCACAAATCTGAAAATGTTATTCAGCTGTCATATTTTAAAATGAACATGAACATTTATAGGCATCGAAAGTAAACTCAAAGTATGCGTTCAATTAACTTATGATTATAATGTTGGAGACAAAATCATATACTTATTAAAACTTCAAGCAGGTGTGTAGTACCTACCTGATACATTAATTCTAAATTAATTTTCATTTATACATTATTATACTATTCGTGTGCATTCTATACATTCTGAAAATGTATGTGTGTCTACGCGCGAGATATTGTAGATTAATACAATTTACATTGGATACAACCGTGGTGCTCGTGTACAATGCGTGCATTTAATACTGTAGTGCCATGGTACTCATGTCTATATAATATGTACATTTCATTTGCTCGATACATTTAGATTATTTGAAAAACCGCTTTTTTGGGAGAGGTTCGCGGAGCCAATCGTCCACAAAAAAGTTATACAAGACGGAATTGGTCTGGCCGATGTGGTGGTGGTGTGTATCTCGAGGGATTAATTTCAAAACTTAGAAAGGAAACCAGCTCGTGTATTTTTATATAGAGAAGCCAAAATTGCATTATCATATAGAGCATTTGGGAGATAAACACTGGAGGGAGCAATTGAATATTCACCGAAATGTTCGTCGTTTAGATTATATACCCATAAAACATGACTGCGTAAATTATATTATATTTAAATAAAATATCGATAATAATTTGCATAACAAATATACCTAATTATAGTGATTCCCTCACCATCCAAATTTATTGCCTCTCTACAAATAATAGGTATATTATTATTCTATAACAATTTCGGCACAGCTCATGAAACCGGACGACATTCTAGAGAAATCGCGGGATGTCAGTGGAAAACCTATGTCAGTTTATTGTTTGATATAGCAATTGTTATTTCAATAACAACTAAGGTGGGTATAGTAGGTAGTGGTTCTAAAACATATTATTGTATTCGTGCGTGCGGAATGCGATCGTTGTCTGCTTAAATTTTTCTGGTGAAGTAATTATTATTTGTTCATCGGTTTATATCACAGTATAATAATATGAGAAATCGTAGTTTACAGAGGTAGGTTACACGCACACAAATACATAAGAAAAACATGATTGCGAGCAAATTAATTTTGCTACTTATGTTTTTTTATGAAAGTAGCTGCACGTGCACCACGTAATCCACTAAAAAAAAAAATTATGTTTTAACAATTATATATATAACGTTAAAATAGATGTCTCTATAATTGTTATCATTCTTGGCACTGAGAAAATCTGTTATAATTTTGCATTATTTAGTAAATTTAATTTGCGTTAACATATTATTTTTACATTTTCATTCGTATAATATAACTCATTGTTTAGAAATATGTATACAGTATGAAGAATGTACTTTGCGAGAATTCAAAGAGAGATTAAATAGGCATGTGTATTATTTCCATCCGAAACGCTTTATTTATTTATCCATCGTTATAATGACAATAGTATTAAATAACGATAATTCTACTGATGTTCCCTAACAACAGCTTAAGCGTACGCATAATTCTTGGAAATTACAAGACGTTAATAATTACACGTGACCTAGTTATCAATAAATGAACGAAATTCCAATATATGAATGCTAAATAACACTGAATAACGATCAAAAAAATATAATGAAAATCAAACATAATTATGGTGATTCGAGGACAAGATAACAATGTTTAAAATTATGCATGTCTTATAGTATACAAAATGAATTCACAAATAAAATTACTTAGCTTTTTATTGCCAATATATTGGTAGTGGATTTGGTTTGTTCGAAGATAGTAAAAACTTCATTTATAAAAAAAATAAGAGTTTCTAATTCAAGTTATATACTCGTATAGTATGATGTACAAGTTTTTTATAGATATTTTTTTTTTATTTTATTTTTTTTTTTTCAGATTGACGAAGAAATAATCAGATTAAAAAATGAACTGTCTAGAACTAAAAATGCGTTGACCAGTCAAATTATCAAAAGACATCAATTAGTTGCCGAACTGTCGCTGAAAGTTGACAAAAAAAACAATCAGCTAAAAGAATTTCAACGTTCAAACTTCAACGATCTAGGAAAAGTGTTGAGGTCACTGTACGTGTTTGAGTCGAAATTAAGAAAAGAACAACAACAAATAAGAAGACAATTAGGGGAGAGAGATTCGGTGATAAGGCAACAGCAAATAGAAATCGCGAAATTAAGACAGAGTCTAGCTCACTATTGTCATAAAAATGAGCCGTGTGAGGATACGGAAATTATTTCGATTTCGAAACCCGACTTGATCACATCTATCTCGTCACAATCACACGTAAACGAGCACGTAAAAAATAATGATATAGATTCGTCGGAAAAACTCGTAGTGTTACCAACAAAATTAGAGGGATCGAGGAAAAATGTGTTACCGGTGGACACACGTTCTAAGAAAAATTCAAACAACAATATAAACTTTAATAAGAATGTGTACAGTAAAACTGTTACAGACTTGTCTCTCAATGACATATCGTCATTTCCAAATCCAACACCCAATAACAACTTATTTGTTGTGTCTAACTCTATTTTCTCGAAAAACGAGTTTACTTACAATGAAGTCTCTAAAGAGGTAAACTTAATTTAAAATTACATCTATATGATTTTGGAGTAACGTGTTATTATCTAATAATATCTGAAAATTTAATATTCTTTAGTAAAGCGTATTTTGTTAGGCACTATTATATTTATCAATAAAAATAGTTATTGAACTCGGAAGTATTGATTTCCGTCCATACCGTTGTTCAATAATGGTATATGGCGATTAGAATTTAAAAAAAAAAGTTTTATAGGAACATAATAATATTGTATTCATTAATATTTCGTTTTTTTTTTCGGCACAGTCATATCACAAACAGCGAGTTATACTAATTCAATTGTAGCATATTTTTAGTTTCATATTTTGTTCTTTTAATCTTTTGGGCTTAAACATTTATTAAAATATGCCAAATTATAATACAATGATATGCAATATTTTTCGTTTGTATATTATCTGAGCAAACAATTATCGTGTTTGCTAATATTCAGATATTTTATGTAATTTCGTTCGTTCAAAACTTAGTGACATACTATTATGAAGTTAAATTTTGGTATTATAGACTGAAAATAAAATATTTTGTTTACTGCACTTAAATATATACATTCTATAACATTATGTTATTATTGTGGGCTAATAATTTTCGACATTTCCGAAAGTTTATTTCCTTACAGTACTGTAACATCGACTGTTAAAAACATTCCTTATACCGTTCCTGCATTACTGCAAAGTGCTCATACTGCAATTATTATTATTACAAGGTTTTTTTTTCTGATTCCATACAAAGACTTCACGTCGCAAATCACAGGTTTCCTGGTACGCATTTCTATCGGCGCTCAGTTACCGATATTAATGTTTATAATTTGATTTGTGCTCGAAATATTACAATGGGAACCGCTGGTACACAAGTAGCCCATGATTATTCCAGCGTGAATTTTTACTCAATCCCAGAAAGTTATCTCCGCTGAAATTTTACCATCATAAGATATTTAACAATGAATTTTTACAGATGTTTATAAATCAAATGCGAGTTAAAATTTCACTAGTAAATCAACTTAAAATAAAATCAAGTTAAATAATATATTTTAATTATCGGTAAAACAGGATAGGCATTACTAGAAAAAAAAAAACATATTAAAACAGTGGAAATTAGTTGTGATGACGTTTACGGGACATGCAGGCAAATTGATCGTTAAAGCTTTTAGACGGTAAGACTACGTGTAATAGGTAAAGAAAGTGACTATAGTTTTGAAAACTAATTGAATTCTATTTCGACTTCAACAACATTTATTTTAATTGAAAGAAATGAACATTTTCAGAATAATATAAGGTGATAAGTAATATAATGGGTAAAAAATAATTATCAATATATAATTTATGTACTTGGTTATGTACAACAACAATAATAAATGTATTTGTAAATGATTTCAATTTATTCATTTTGACGTTCTCGATTAGACCAACTCAAAATTAAATAAAAATCGAAACGATATATTATAAACTGCAATTTCATTTTTATTTAGATGGAAAAATTATACTTATTGCATTACTGATAAATAGTAAACGTCAAATGCGGTCACAAAACAAAAATTAATTATATTATTGAGCCTTGATAATACGGCCGTTTAATCAGTTTCGTCATTATAGCATAAACTATACCATAAAAATATTAGAAAAAATTTGGAACTTATATATTATTATATTGTAGTCACCTTATCATCGTAATAGCAGTCATTATAATTGATTTCCACTGTATAGTTATATTAATCAATAATTAATATTGAAACATTTCATATACATAATTTGTTTAAAATAATTATATTATTTTAAATCTATAATTATTATTATTACTCAATATATATATATCAATTAATCAATTAACTTAAGTAATTTGGAAATTGGTGGAATAAAAAAACAAAATAAATTGATAGACAACTTTTAGCTTAAAAAAATGTATACCTAATATGTGATATTTTATTTTTTTAAGTATAAATACAACGTATAGATACAGAAATATATATCTACCTCTTTTAGCCGAGGCTTGTAACGGAGTAGAGAGTCGACAAATTTATAATATAATAATGCTTAAATGTAAATTAATAAAATTATAATACGTACCTATATATAGTATATTATATAGGGACGAGAGTCGTGCCACATTGACGTGTTGAATATTGGTTTTCAGGTGATAACTTCGGTGAAGCAGAACGGCAAGGTGATCACCTCCGCGCTGAAGAAGGCGGACAAGTATCCGTCACCGAAGACCGTACACTTCGGCAAAACGACTCACATACCCGAGCCCGACGAAGACGGTCAGACGGACATCGTGAAGACGGTGGAGACGCTATTGCTACAGCAGTGTGGCGACTCGACCGAATCGGAAAACGACACGTCTAGCACGGCGTCCACGGAAACGTCGCCCAGCGTATCGCAGATGGTCCGGAAGTTCGAGAGCATATGCACCACGGCTGCCACTACTTCCGGTTCTTCGATGGTGTCGGAGTTGCGCTGCGCCGACGGTAGGTCTCCGACCCTGGTGGACGACCGCGGAAGTGACGGGAGCTACATCGCGGACGCCGACCTGAGGACTGCGGCCGAGCTAGACGTGAGGACCGACTCGGAACCGGACGTGTGCGCTGGAAGCTGCGCGGCGGTGTCGCTAAGCGACTTAGACCCCCGGAACAACTTCGAGGAGTTCCGATTCGAGGATAGCGACCTGGACAAGGATTACGGTTGCGGCCGACCCGAGGCGGACGGGCTCGAGTACCCGGACCGGCACGGTTCGTCGTCTTCACCGTCGTCGCCCTCTGTGGCCGCGGCCGTCACGGCGGCCGCGGTCCTGTTGCGGTCGGCCGGGGACGACGGAAGTTGCTGCGCCGCCAGCCGGGTCAACTACGAATCGTTTCTGGAAGTGACCGGGCTCAGCCAAAAGTCCATCATCACGGTGCAGTCGAACAGGAACGCATACGGGTCGCACAGGAACGTGCAGAAGCCCAAAGACGTGAAGAGCAGGAACCGGGCCAAGTCGGCGTCGTTCGACTGCAAGTCCGCGTACCCGGCCGCCGTCAAGTACTGGACGGAACCCTATATCTGAGAGACGGCCGGCGCCATAATACCTAGTTACCTATACCTATTTACTTTATTTACCTGTGCACATACCTATTTAGTATTATGTTACGATAATATATATTATTATGTTTTATTTATTTATTTAATTTAATTTTTTTTTTTTTTTTATTGCGCCGAGAGAATATGTTTGTATAATATTATGCGTTGTTTGTCTTTGATATTGGACTTTTATTTCACGATGATCATATTAGATTATTACGATTGATGAGCATAAACCCGAAATGCGTGCGATACTGACCTAATCGGAATAATTATATTATTGTTTTAATTATTTTAATGTTTAAGTTTAACCAAGCACTGATATAATACATTTGAGCCTGCGGTTAACGTCGAGTATATAATCAAACATTATATTATTATATATAATATTATTATCTTAACGCGTGTTACGAACTCGAATTTTTTTGATTAATATAAATAAATAAAAAATTGCCCGCTCGCTAACGACGTGTGGAGTGTATGCATTTTGTTTTTGTTTTTCTTTACATGTCCATCATACAGCAGCTGCACACATTGAGCGGCCGTCGTCACACGAGTGGTTTTGAATGAATCCGTCCGTAGTGGCCGGTCCGTAGTGTCCACTTCACCCGACCAACAGCCACCGCTTTCTACTGCAGGGTGGCTGCAATCGACATAATATTTGTACTCATCGATATGACCCTGCAATATGCATATTTGATGATATTGTTCTCAAATCTTTTCGTCAAGGCCAAATATTTTCGGACGTTCAGACGATTGCGATTTTGAAAACAACAAAATAAACGAATGACTTTACTACTTGTGTGGACAGTCACGGGCGACGAAGAATAACTATTGTATATAGATAATACAAGACGTGTACGACACGCTTATTTTGTCAAGTTTTATTTACTATGTGAAAACCGAATACATTATTTCAAGTTTAAATCTATCTCAAAAACTGTTAATTGTGCAACCATTTCTTATCAGAAATCCTATCGATTTGTGAATAAGAAATTATTACAGTTAGAATGCGACCAACAATTTTTGAATTGTAATAATCTTTTAAGGTTGTGAAAAATTTAAAATGTTCATACTTTATTTTCGTTTAATTATTAACGTTATACAATTAATGTGTTCGTATAGGTAAAACATGTAGCATGTAGGTACCTACTAACTAGTTTCTAGTTGTATGTTTTGTGAAATTTTATACCACAAATTCCGTTTTTGTATCTTCTTAAATAGGGTTTTAAAATTAATTATAAATTAAGTGCTAGATATTATATTATTATAGTTTCGGAGCGTATGATTTATGTACTAGATTTACAATGATGCAATATGTGTTTTTCATTGAATTTTTGTGTTTGAAAAAAGACTCAGAACTTCAACTGATAAGTAAATAGATCAGATCGAGTCTAGTTTGTAATCTGAGGGGCATACGTAAAAAAATAAACTTGCAAATGTAAAGTAAACTCTTTAAGTTTTCTTTAACTGATATTTTAAGAAAAAGTATAASGTATTGTCACATACATTTTTATGAGAATTTGAAATTCAAACTTTATTGACATTAAAGGTCTCCACACACTTCAGAGGTGGTGATTGTCGCACACGGCACCACCAAGACAAAATAATTTTATTTGTGCTACCGCTACAGTATGTGGAGACCTTAAGAAAGGTATAATAACGATTTTTGCTCAAACTATTTTTGTTGTTTTTTTAATATTCAAAATGTACCTATTATTCGTAAAAACTTGAAATATTTCTTTTATTACTTAAATTATCTTGTTATTGATAACGTTGACTAGTAATGACTTTTAATAAATCTAAATTTACATAAAAATATTTATATACGTCTAATAATATAATGTTTATCCAATATGATTCACCAAGAATTCGAAAACACATATGCCCATTTTTCTTTTTCTAATGTTTTTATTTCTTAATATATGGCTATTGAAACTTTTAAATATACCGAAGAATCATATTGTTAACTATTTATATGTATAATTAAAAAATTTTCTTGATAATTTTCAAAAAAGAGGTTAGTTCTCATTTGAGAAAAAAAGAAAAAAAGTTGAAATCACCCCTCCTTAAATGGTAAAATTGTATAACAAATAATAGCTTTTACCAAATTTGAGAAACAGTCTTGGAGATTACTCTTTCATGGCCTTATGCCTCATTGTAAAATAAATATTATTTTATCGTCCAATAGGTTATCCATTACAGAGGAGTAGTGCAAGCACTTAATAGCCCCTCCTAATAGTTACGCGTATGGTTTTAACCTACGACATTATTAAACGAAAAAATAAATGACTTATAGCAACGGTCCCCACTACGCGGCCCGCGGGCCACATGCGGCCCTTTAGTAACTTTATTGCGGCCCGCACTAAAATTAAATTGTTCATTCTAAAATCCAAAATTCTATAAATAGTGAATAAACCGAACGTCGCTTATTATCTTATCATTTTTATTTATTTTATTTTTCTATTTACTGCGGTTGTCAACATCAAATACAACCGTAGACATAAACAAAATTATAAAAAAAACAGAAAGGTACCGCCCATCAACATCACATCAAAACAACATTAAATCAAATAAATAAATTTTAATATTATATAAATATCAATATTAATCTAATAATTTAAAAAATATATAAATTTAATATAGGTACTAACATAATAATATGAATAATTTTATTTTGTATAAAATAAACTATGAATTGAAATTTAAAATTGTAATTATAAATCCAAGAAAAACATTTATGTCATTCGCGTACTTTTTCCTACAATACATATATATAATTTTTATGTTTTTAATTATTAAAAAAATAATTAAAAACGTATGCGGCCCGCAAATAATTTTCAAAAATTACATTTGGCCCATTCTACAATCCTAGTGAGGACCGCTGACTTATAGTAATAGAAATTAATATTATATAATATCGATCACTAAAAACAGAGTCTAACACACCATCTCTGCTCAGAAACATTTATCAGGTACAAGGGTACAACGATCATTATTGTATTAAAATTTAGCAGATAAATTAGTGATTAGCTTCCTCAGTGACCAAGTATCTACATTTGAAATCTACTACACAGCAGAGTGACTTTTCTGCACCGGTTTTAAAAATTATATTATTGAGACATTTTTACATATTATGAAAAATGATTTACAAATATAATTGTTTATTCGTACAACTCCAATTTGAGATAAATAAGATTATTTATTTATTTATAAAAAATCAACGGACCAAAGCCCTTTAACAAAGAAAGAAAAACATAATAAATTAATTGGCACAATATGAAAACAATAGACAAGTAATAATAATAAAAGCAATAAAATAGTGGATAGGTATATATGGGTAATTATGGATAGGTAACTTATAAAACCATAAACACATAAGTTTTTACTTGAGACAATTTATTTTTAACTTATGTTCAATGTCGTCTTGTGATATTGTGGATAAAGGTTGTCAGATTAGAACCTATAAGTAATAAGTAATTGGTAATATTATACAATAATATAATATTCAATCTAATAACTTCCAAATAAGGGAGTAACGTGCCTAATATTACTAATTATCTGAACTCTTGTTGTAATAACCCATAAATTATGATTATTGGTTAACGAAAACTTTTATACTTTACAATTGGAATTCTATTACAAAGAACTACACGTTATAGTAATGAAACATCCATTTAATTTTACAAGTAAAACTGTAATTTAATGAATTTATTGAATTGTTAACGAATAAAATAAATAAAAGTCCGATTTATATTTTGTATTAATGATAATAGCATTATTTGAAATTTTTTTTTTATAATCAGTCTCACACTTGATTTCAAACGTATTTAATGCAACTATTCGTTCCAGTTGGTTATCAATGTTATCATTTTACGTCTAAAATGTTGATGGAGAGCGTCTTCTGTATCCTAATTTGCTAAAAACTCGCAATAGGTAGTGGTCTTACAATGATATTGCATTGTGAGCAAACAAAACAGAACTATATAATATCTCTGTGAAATCTATAATTGGGCGACAAACAAAATTTTTTTTATCAAATTACAAATTAAATCCCTGTAAAATTGAAGTAAAATTATACTTTTACCACCGATTTATAATTAATCATACTTTTTCAAAAATAAATAGAATATTATAAATTATAATCATTCATAATCACCTTTTATTTTCATAATTTACAATGCAAATTTTTGGGTAAGCAGTTATTACATATTAATTGTTGCACATCCTTGATCTTATCAATTTAAATAATAACGCTATGAATTTTACATGGTAAAATTTAGTATATTTGAAGTTTTTATTTTCATTTTCAATGTTTTTCATGAAATAGATTAAAATAGTTTAGGTTATTTTATATTTAAAATGAATAGTTACAAAATACCATTTTATATTGGACTGACATTTAATTTTAATTTGAAAATGTACAAATTATACAAAATTAAATTTTTTGCTTTGAAACTTTTCAAATATTTGTTTTAAGTACATGGTAGTGTATAGTTAAAAAATATATTTTATTACATTTATGTATATGAATTTATTTTTTAACATTCTTTCAGTTAACATTTAAACATTATTTTACAATATTCCCTGATTAGCCATGGAAAAAAGGCATAGGTACTGAATAGATTTGTCTTTTAAGATTTAGTTTTGACATTAATAATATAGTTCTTATAAATAATTCTACATATTAAGACCCAGCGTTACACATTTTTCACTATGTATATGATTTGTTCATATCAATTTATATTGATTAAATACTTAAGTTATTGTACTTGCTTATAACATAGTTTGTCAAACTTCATTCAATGCTAATTTTTAACGACATATAATAGATAAATACAAATATCTTAGATTAATATCAACGTATCAAACATTTTTGAGACAATTTTTTTAATAAGTACTTTAACGTCACAAATAATTTTTATATTTAGTTCATGTGTACAAAAAAAGTTATGTTTTACATAATTAGGTAACCGAAAATAGAGCTCAAATATCACACTGATTAAAGCATTAAGTATAATATTATAATGAATACAAATATTATAAATATAATATTATTTTTTGAACATTATAAACATCTTTGCAATAATGGTACTTATATTAGAAATATTGCACCTGGACGGCTTTATGTCGTAACACATGAATGTTTATAGTTAACATAGTTATTATATATAGTTACTTATAAATTATCATAATATTAATAAGAATTTAAAAACAATCATTTTGGCTTGAATAAGAATAAGCTTATACCTTACAATTATTGGACATTTGAATAATATTAATACCATCATTAAGTTACATTATCAAATCTTCATAATACCTATAATAATTTAGGTTCAATATTTTTATAAATATAAAAGTTCATAAATATTATACAATTTCATAATAATTAATAAAATATTTTGTGAACACAATCTAACGTGCTTAAATGTGTAAGCAAACAATAACATGGAACGTGACGAAATCAAGCAAAAACATATATAACGTGAGAATCATACACTTACAATTAATGTATAATAATGTAATTATATATTCGTATAAATTATTTTAAAATACCGTTGTACATTTTATCGTTGAAAATTAATTATAAAATTATTTATTTCATTGTATACATACAATAGTATATTATGTATAACTCTATTAGTAATAATTAGTTATATAAATGAAAATCATGTACGATTTCAACGATTTTAACAATAATAGTGGACTTATACAACAACAAAAATTATAATACTTATAATAATGAAATCACCCCCCGTGTGACACACTTTCTTCGGGGGGCAGTAGTGCGTTAGGAACTCCGAATCATCCAAAGCCGATAATATTATGTATATTTTTTTATTATGTTGTGCCGTTTTAAAATGTTAAGTCCAACGTTACCAAATAGATCGACCGTTATAGCCATAAAGAGTGGTTTTGCGTAATATAACCTTTTATATTTAATTGTTTATGTTGTTTAGCTGTATTTAATACTTATATTTAATCAATCCAGATAACTACTGTCCCGATTTTACATAGTAAAAAATTAAACAAAAATACAATAATAATAATAAAAATAGGTATTTGGTTATTTTTTTTTAATTACGATATCATATTGCCATATCCAAACGTGCGTGATGATAGTTAGTAAGGATTCAGGCTGGGATTTTGATAGAATGTCATTTTTTTCTGTTATTATAAAATGTAGCTTTATGAGTGGAAAATGTGTCTTAGTTGTAATTAATTATCTGAATTAAGTTAACTTATATAATTATTTATACTGCTTTGTAAATAAAAGAAAAATGATCACTGTGTGACACGTTTTCATTGTATAACTTTTTAAATGGTTAGAAATAATCTTTTAAACGTATTTTATAGTATGATTTTAAAGACATTTTTTTCTTAGGAGAACGCCACACGGGTATTTGTTTTCTCCGTTTTACAAACGTACAGCATGGAAAATTTAACGTTCAGAATAATTAATATATACGCTTTACTCTATAATCACTATGATTTCTAAAATTAGAATGAATTCACTTCCTATAAATTGTGAAGGCAAKAATATTATTTAGGGAATCTTGGAGTATTTTATTGATATTATTAATTTTAAGTTGGTTATGAACATTTTTAAAAGGTTTTTTTTTTGTTCATTGTAAAACGATCATAATTTACATAAAATTTATAATAAATAGAAATAAATTCACTCTAATTTAGAAATTACAGATTAAAACGTATTATTGTGAACGTAAAATATGACATGTACGTTTGTAAGACGGAGACAACAAATGCCCGTGTAGCGTCCTCTTAATGTTTTCAAATGGGACGATACGATTGATTTGGTAGTTTCAAGTGTGTCACGTGGTGTCACGCGAAGAATAGTCGTACGGCTGCAGTGGCCGAGCAAAGTCACTCATCGTGTCCGGTCGTGGACGCGGTCTTCCTGGCTGGCCGCAGTCTATCTAGGAGGCTCGTGACGGCCGGCCACCTTGGTCACCCGTAAGTCGGGTCGACGGTGAGAGACATGCGCTGGCCGCGGTCCACCCAGTTCTTGAGCCGGCCCCGGAGTTCTTCCAGGGACTTGGACTTGGCCTTGTTGATGCGCTTGTATTTGACGTCTTTCGGTTTGGTCACCGAACGGTGGTTACTCATCACCCGGTTATATGTGGTTGCGGTCTCGTTCTCGGCACCTCGGCCGTCTGTCTCCCGTCCGTCTTCCACCGGCAGACGACAAGCCGTCGAGCCGTCAGCCGTCGAAGCCACCGACGCCCGTCGCCGGTCCGTCCGCGAATGCGGTGGCTGTTCGGACGCGTCCTCTTGGCTGTTGCCCGACTCGTCCTCTTCCATGATCACCGCGCTGTCGCTGTCGTCCACATTGCCGTCGTCGGACGTCGGACCTCCATCTCCGCCGCCAACGTCGCCTCCACAGCATCCAGACACCGGTGCGGTCACGCCAAAGTCGGCGAGCCTGGAATGCAAACACCTGATGGCGTACTGTTGCCGCTCGATGACCACCTCGCGCTGGTCAAGCAGCTCGCCGATGGCCCGCTGCTTGCGACTAAGCCGAGACTCGAACAGTAGCAGGTCTGACGTCAACGACTCAAGCCGAAACCCGTACTCAGCACTCATCTGCATCAGTCGTTCTTCCTGCAAAAAACAGCAGTGAAGTTTAATTTTGATTAAAAATAATAACATTTTTTTCATTTTTTTTTTTTTTTTCATCAACTTGTTGGTTATATAATATTAAGTGTGTTATTACAATGTACCTATATATATACATATATATATACTACGATATCTATATAATCTATATTTTATTATGATATTCTTACGCATGACCTGTAGTTTGCCACTATAATATTAATGGCGACCAATCCTCAATGAAGAACCTTCCTTTAGTGAACAGAGAATATTTTGCCGATATTTCCTAGTCTCCTATAAGGTGAGTTAAATGGTATTCTTTCAGAAAATGGAAAATTTATACGTCTCATCTGTTATATAGCAGTTATAGGTGAAATGGAGAATTTTTATTTGACTTAGCACAAATTTGACCTTTACACTTACGAGTTACGACTGAAATTTATGTGTACCTAAATAAGTTATAAAAGTGGTGGTTAAACGGATCTCCTATGATATTAAACATATTAAATATTTTTGTTAGATCTTCTGACCATTATAAATTATATTTTTAAGGATTAAATAGTGCAAGATAAGAAATTTGTCACATCCTTCCTCTTATAACAAAATCTTTGACCGCCACTTACTTATATAATATTTTGAATTTTATACTTGCTCGACTTAATTTTTAAAAACGTCAAAAAGCAATCCTTATCTCATAATATTGTTAAAAAAAAAAATTAATATATGATTATATAATTACAATTTACATTAAGTATATTGAAATAATATATTATAAACAGTAGGTACTTGAAAATTATATACACAACAATATTAATTTTCCTGWTGGGAATTTGTACAATACTACGTGTGTGTGTGAGTTGTTTACCTTAAAAAATATCGTGTTAATCTGTGCCAAATCGGGGTTATACTAAATAGTAATGTGGATGTTAGAAGTTGCCGGGTCTCAATGAAATAATGCGTTAAACCATTTACCGGTCTCCCAGCGTCGTATCATTAAACACATTGGTACGAGTGAAAAGTAAATACCAAATATTATATTGTAAATTTAGTTTCCGCTGTGCCATTAAAACCATGTAATAATTGCATAGACGTGTAATGTGTTTTAATGAATATTATATGGGTATAATATTATTATATCGATCATCAGCGAAACTTTTCTGAACACATATCATTATAAGTTTTACGACCACGTATATCGAATTATTATAACTCTCTGATCGTGACGAAATAATCATTATTTTTCTATTCGAAACCCGTAACGTTTGGTATTTATCAATCGTAATAATAATAATAATAATAATACCAGCTATATCATTCCGCAGCGACTGTTACGTGACTCGTTCAAGAAGGTTGTTTAGGTGCAGCATCAAGGAAATCGTTATCATTACGCGAAATGTATATTTTATTTGTGTAAGAATACCATTTGTCGTTTTGAGTGAATCTTCTTTTTATTCTATAATATTATGTTAGTGTTGTATGCTCCTGACTCGTCCGCTCGTTATGTAACAACATATTTTCATTATTTCGAAAAAAAAAATGGTTATAATAATAAATAATACCTTATTGTTTGAAACATGTTAGAAAACAGGAAACCCACGGACGCATTTTAAAAGTAAATCAAGTCGATTTGTGATATATCCAAGTTAGGTAATGTGCGTAATAAACGGGATTATAAACGACCACATAAGGATAGGATAAAATGGAAAAAAATTAAATTAACGAGATAAGAGAAAACTAATGTGTAAGTCACCACCTCCAAATAATGACTGGACGGAAGAGAGGGGAAAATAATCGAAGAAAACGCYATAAATTGAAATAACATATTATAAAAAAAAAGGCAATAGAACACAGACGCATAATACTAGCAGTGTAATCGGATCGATACGATAATTAGTATTATCATTATTATTAACAGCAACTAAAGATTTCCCGTTATTTTCCTCAACCGATTTTCAAGATGTTTTTTTCCTACATCGACCCGGAAAAGCACGGGGTAACGAATTCGAATTACGTTTTGAACAGAGTTTATTTTTTTTTTTGTTTTCTTCTTCGTTTTCTTTTGTTCCTCTGTAGGTGTGTGCGGGTTTTTAACGGTACATCGTCGTTGGCCACCGTTTCGGTCCGCATAATACTTGGCGTTTACGACCTACACTTACTACTTAGGTACATATACATAAACACACATATATATATGTTTATAGTTTTAGAACACAAAATAGTAATTCCAAGTTTGACGGATTCGTATATTTATAAAACGTGAGCGACGAATAATTACGGCTAGTAATAATAATAAAATAAGTAATGAAAATATAATATGAATAAAGACTATTCTATGTTAAACTGTAAAACAGTTTTTAATTGTTCTATTCCGAATTGTGTGTACGAATGATTTGTCTTAGTAAATTTGTTTCAGAGATAATACTGATAATTATGTATCTATTAGTAATATCGAATAAGGTCATAACAAATATTTTCACCGTTATGTGGCTATTATAGTAGGTAATCTAATTATAATGAATTACAATATTAAACGACGAATAATAAATGAAATAAATAATTTAGTTTAAAACCTTGTTTTAATCGAGCACGAGAGCATTAATAAAAAAGTAGTTGCAGTCAAACTGCATTCGTTGCGGAACTAAAATAATATTATGCTGATCACTAGCTTATAACAATAAAAACGTATTATAATCATTAATGGTATTACTGCTGCAGGTAAGTGATAATAATACCAAAATATAGGTAAACTTTTGCGCGGAACTTATTCTCATATTAATAATATAATAGACGCCTACGATTTTCGCAACGACCTCAGAAGTCAGCATGATTTTTACGCGACTTGACACTGTTGGTATTATAATAATAATGTGGCGCCCGCCTTGAACTTGTCACGGTGGAGGTTAAACGCCCGTGCCCCATGCGGTGATGGCGGCGCATTTCACTCGACGGACCGCTGCAACAGTGGTCCGTAAAATGATTGATATAACTGTGGCGTGCCAAAAAAAAGTAACATTTCTAGTCTTAAATAAACATAACAGCGTGTTCAATAATAATATTCAATACATTTTTTTTTTTACTATTTAAAGTTTTCCTGACAATAATCATCTAAACTTAGAGATGGAGAAGTAAGTTTTTGATATTTTGTAAATCAGATCATGATAGGTAAGAACTATGTTTTTTTGATGTACAGAAATTGTTAATAATGAAATAGGGTCGTGGAGAAACTAGAATACTACAGTGATGAATATTGCAATTGCAGGTCGAACGTGACGGTGGCAGTTGGATTGTATTAAAATACTTTTTATTTTTATCGAATAAATAATATTCGATCCTAATCTAAATAAACTCCCGGCTATCGTATTTCAAATAATTATTGTTATAATAATTACAACATTGTGCTGTTGAACATTATTTAATTATAATTATTTAACATTATTTAACATTCTATTAAATTAAATCATTGCAGTGACGGGAAATCAAAGAATAATACTGCTCAATAGCTACACAATGTAAAAATAATTTTCTAATAGCACCGTCAAATTAAAATTAGCCTATGTGGGCTTTAWTTGTAAGTGAATAAAAAGTTCAACTGTCAGGCGCGAATTCGTATAAAAGTATGTGTTACAATAAATTTTAGGACTGTACATGACTTAAGATTGTAGCTAAAAAGAATATAACGAATTAATRCATAAATAATAAAGAACACATTAACTGAATACTGTATATACACCTATAAATTATAATTTATAATATAAGATTAGACTGATTAGAGTGGCTGTTTAAAAATAAAATTCTCCAAATTTGAAATTTGAATMAAAACAAAAAATCTTTAATTTCCTATTGCAATAATTTAATATAATAATATTAACAATGCATTTATGCCATTTGTATATAGTTATTATTGCATCAGATATTATTTGTTGGTAATAAATAAATTAAAAATCGGTCCGCTTATAATCGATATCATATTTAAATGCTTCAAACTTCAAAGAGCCTAACCGAATTGGTACCAATTGTTTTTGCAGCTAGCCTATTGCTATTATCGATAATACCATAAATCAGGCAGATTAAAAAATTACACAAAAACTAAATTCAAAGACAATTTATGGGGAAACGGAAACTATAGTGTATTGTACATCATTATAAAAACGTAATTGTTCCAGGAAAAAATAATACATAGGTATATCACTTTCAGCAAGTCATGCACTCATGCGGGTAAAATATTTTTGCTGATATACATCGATGTACTCTGGTGCGATTATACTTTAGAGACCACTGTGTAGTTGTGGCGGTGTATTGTGCGCGGGAGACGTGAGCATTTTTTATTCGGTGACTGTTATTATTATAAACATTATAATAATAATATTATGTACGCGGACGACCTTATACACAAAAACGCCGCGAGATATTATGTCAAACAAGAAATCAACTCGCGAAGTAAAAACGATAATTTCTAATGTCCATAACGCGTGTTTTCGATCTGCCGTTCAAGTTGCACACACCTCGCACATATATATAAGTGACWGTGCAGGTGTCATAAAGTTGAGCMCAGCTGATGCCGTTTCGTTTTACAATCGAAAGTGTATTGGTGTGTGTGYACAGTGTCAAGGGTGAAGTAATGGTGACGCTTTCAGCTCTAAGTGCCCACATGAGATACAATATCAATATGGTTATAGAATTTCAAGTTTGACCATATTGGATCTGCATATTAATTTTATTCCGATTCGCCGATAATGAATAACTTATGTAATATTTTAGCTCGGCACCTATAATATTAACTACAAATTATTTCATAGGGTTCCTAGCATAGGCGCACATARGGTGTGMATTTAGGGGGTGCTGAAATAATTTATAGTACACAGACCCGTGGGGAGCGAAGCCCCCCACTACACCACCCTAATACTATAATAATTGCATTGCAATAATTATAAATTTTATTAAAAATAAAAATAAATATTTTGTAATTATATTAAAAGTTATAATAACATGTAATCATTAATTATTAATGTTAGACAAAATTTAATTTTCTGTTTGATATCGCAAATGTTTGCATTATAATTTCCCCCTCTATTTTATTGGTAAGATCTCTCTCAATGCTAAGCGTAGATAGCTTGGTAAATCTTTCTATCTTTCTTGGCCCATATTGGTGCGTAACCAGTTTTTCAATCTACGCATAGCTGAGAAGGAGCGTTCACACGTTGACGAAGAAATTGGAATTGTTATTCCCAATAGCTTACAGACATTTGGAAACGAACTTTTATAAAATTGATTTTTCATGCCTTCATATATAAAGCTGGCTGGTAGACTATTCATTAAAACCATCATTTCTGCTGATAAACTAACTGTTGATATTTTCAAAATATCCTGATATACATAAACAGATTTATATAATAATATTTCAAAAGATATGACTATGTAATAAATATTTTAAATAGTTTATGCGGTGCTAATTTTAAACCTGGGAGTGCTAAGCACCCCCAAGCACCCCCAAGCACCCCCCTATGTGCGCCTAACTTCCTAGAACCTCAAGCATCTATAGTAAAGTCGTCGTGACACAGATTCATGGAAAGACATAGATTTATTAGATTTTCGAAAAGGTTGATAGTGAAATTGGATGTTTTATTGTACCTATATCTATCAGAATTTACTATTTTTTTTTTCAAAATAAGTATCGTTTTTTGAACCACAGATTTAACTGTATCTTCGCAATACTATTATTATTGACTAACATTATTATTGACCGATCACAAGGCACGTAACAATTAACGCGTATCGAACAGTTTTTTTTTGTGGTGGTGTTTGTTTAATGATATTATGCATACAAACATACGTAAGACGAGTGTTATTGAAATATTATGTGTTTTGTCTAATTTATATAGTGTTTAAACAAAAACAATGTATCTCGTGTGTGTGAAACGTAAAAACCTAATCGATAAGGCCGCGGGTGAATGTCGAATACGTCAAGACAAAACACGAAAACAATCCAAAATATTATAATATATGCGGTCGATTTCCCGCTATGTTTATAAGGGAGACAACTACTTATACATAGCTCTTCTCCGATCATCATAAATAAATTATGATATGATGCAACCGTACCTGCATTTTGGCTTTTTTCCTCCACAACAACGTCTGGTGCGTCTGGAAACGGCATCGGTCTCTCAGCTGTTTTATCACGATTCGAGCTTGTTCGATGGTCAAAACTTCTTCATCGTCGTTGGCGTCATGATTTTCGTCTTCTCGCTGTTGCTTCCCCTCCTCATCATGCTGCTGCTTCTGGTTCCGCCTCCCCGGAGACCCGTCGTCCGGGACCGCGGACGTAGGAAATTCTTCCGGTACCTCTGCCGCGCCCATTCTGGAACGGAACCACGAAAAAATGATGAGACATAWACGTTTTAAGACCTGTACAGTCGATCGCGCGCACATTTTACAATTACAGAAGTTTTCGTAGAATTATTGCGTACGAGTATACGACAGCCGCTGCCGCCGCCGCTCCGTGCGCATGCCATCATCGCACAATAATAATATACTCGGCTAGTAATGGTATAGTTGTAGTGTACACATTATTATTATTATTATTATTATTATTATTATTATTATTATTACTACTTTATTATTATCACGGTATTTCGTTTAGGCGGACGACTCAGTAACAGCCGACAACACTCGTTAATCGATAAGCCGCAATGCAGTGTCGTACGACCTACGACCACGTTTCGTCGAATTAGCGCGCGCGCGCTCTCTGACAAACCTCTTTTTACGGTTTTCTCATATATGTAAGTGACGTAACGCRGTTAAACGCGTGCTCCCGTATCGTTCATACATTATACAATTATAACTTATTATTATTATTATTATTATTACTGTCATGCAGAAAAATATCGCAATAATATTATCGGTATATATATTAATTTAATTAAACATTATCAGGACATGGTCGGCTCCGTAATCGTCACACTCAAATTCTAGGTCGATTTTGAGACTTTTTTGTTAAAAACAGACGCCACTATTCTCGTCTATATTCTTATAAAATTATTTACCAACATTTTTCAAGGTGTCGTGGTCGCTTATTATACGTGTCTACATTATACATTCAAAATATTCCATAGTAGGTAATGTTTATTTAATTTTCTGAACGATCGAAGCTCTATAATGAGATTAACTTTTGATTTTACGTGACCCTTTTATACATTTACTACGATATGGCAATGCGAAAAACATGAGGCCAAAAGAAGTGGCATTGACCCGTTAAAAAAACCTCCTATAGCGTAGGATTTGTGGTCGCAAAATGCAAACAAAATATGCGTAATCTCACGTACAGCTACAGAAATAATAGTTGTTTGCTTTGGTTTTAAAATAACGGATCATTTTAAAATAATTACATTTAAATAATTTTCGTTGCAGACAGTTGTGTGATTATTAGCAAGATAATTCAACGAACATTTCTGAATTTTGTAGTTATTAAATTATCGTTGGAATTGATTTTAGGTGTGTTATTATTATTATTACATTATTAGGTACATGGTTATATTCATGAATTCCATTTGCGTTAAAATCAAGAGTCTCAAATTTAAAGTTGAAAAATACATTATCTAATTTAATAAAACGTTATGGATACAAATTAATTTTATTTTTTGTTAAATCAGTATAAACTGACAATTAATCTGGTTATCTGGTTGTGGTGTGCGGCTATGTATTGAAAACAGCAGACTTACGATATCATTAATACTACAGTCACACGTTCCCTGAAACTTAACTAATATAACTGCAGTATTCTGACATATGAATACCTACCATATATCTTATCGAATAAATTAGCGATTGTTCTAGTTTTGTATTAGATTCCTCGAATTGGCCTTCAAAACGGCCGTTGGATGGTAAAATTTGGTTTTTGTGCATTTTATGTTTTCCAAGCGAGACCGTAATATTATTTTTATGGTACATTTTTTGTTCCCTTTCGACGTTTCTCTAACAATGTTTTTTTTTTTCACACAGGTTTTGGATCTAAATAAAACACCGGCGATTATTATAATCGAATTCCATTGGTGGCGCGGCAATTCGTCGTAATAGTGCATTGCGCTTATTATTATTCTTTTTTTTTCCATGACATTGGAACTAACCGAAACAATCTATACTAATGGTGCGCACAAATCGAAAAGAAAAAAACATCCCAMCTTCATGGTATAATATGTACAAAGCAGGAATTCTTTTTCGACCGTCCAAATTACTAGGACTTTTTTTACACACACACACAAACCTGTACATAGTATTAATAGTATTATTTTTCGTATTGGTTGAAAGATCGTCTACATATATAAATGTTATATCGTACCTAGAGAGAATTTTCATTGTCGTAATTTCAAGGTCGCGGTGGACGGCATATATATTATATTATTTTTTAATATCATTATACATAATAGTACACAACACTTTCAAAGCCATACTCGTCGTACTCGTTATATAACCCCCACGATATTGGCTTTGGAAGTCTGATAGAAATAGTTGTGTCACGTCCACTGAGCTCTAAGGAAACAATCATTCGTCTGTCGAACTGCGAAACCACGTAATATTATATTATACTTGTACAGTCTTATAGAACAGGAAAAACAATATCAGTTCGCACGATATAATAATATTATATCATATAGTTACTATTGTTATTATTATAGGGTTTAGATTTAAAGGCGATACATAAATAATTAAAAAATGGCATATTTTATAATACGGGATTCACACAATATACTCACTCAAAATTTTTAAATACATTTTAAGACCATGTAATTTTAAAAGTTTTGAACTTCTTGTACTACTTAATATAAAAGTCGTTCCTCATCTCCAGAGAACTTGCCCCAGAATACAACGCATGTAAGAGTAAGGATAACCTTATAACCTTTCAATCGACCACGATTGTTACCATATTTCCAAAATATTCTGAAGAACGGACCAACCCAAATTTTTTCCCACTATCTCTCAACAAAAAAAAACACAAAAAGCAATATAATTCATATTATCTGTCCATACTGTAAATTTAAGTATAATAAATTGAATACATCTGTACATTTTTATTCTGTTTTTCTCATCCTTTCTTTTCGATGTTACAACTGTAGGCTAATAACTCATGGTTTATTCTAAATAATAAATAAATAAATACTTTACTAATTTCATACGTAAACGTATATGATGCTGTCATAATATCGGGTGTTAGAATGAAAGTTAAATTGTCCAGTATGAAAAGATCCTAAATAATTTTATTACATTTTTGACAAATAAATATGTGCCTGTTTGAATATTACCGTATAACAGTTATACTATAACTATTTATACTCGTATAAATATATACCATATTATTATAGATAATTGTATTTTTCTTAAATTCTATCAAAAATAGTGTATAAATTATTGAAGTATAAACTGATTAAGTAATATTTGATTGAAAAATACATCTTTTTTTTTATTGAACATATTAACATCGACAACAAATTTTAATCTTATTAAGTATTATAAAAGATTATTTAAAAAATATAGTGAATTGTTTTTGAGGAAAAATATATTGGACTGTTGAAGAGTTTTTGTGCTAGGCCCGTGGGTGTTGTGCGACTCGAGTAATAGACGTAGTATTAAATAGCACATACTATAAGTACTGTACCAATGTTTTGCTATTTTTCCTTTTGCATCTAAACGGGTGGTCGTGGATCACGAATATTCAGTCGTTTGGACACGTGGGCCCACAGTGAGAATAATAATATTATCGTCATGCATTTACACCGTGGCAACAAACGGATGGGAATATGTATGCATTATACACACTATGCATGTATATAGAATAGATATTTAGGTCAACACGGACACGCCATGCCGGACATTAACGACTTGACATTTAAATCGATGCGACCATCAAGACGTCAAGTGTGTCTTAATACATAGGTATATAATATTATATTATGCATAATGCAAGAATTATATATTATTATTATAATATTATATTATATATACTTACGCGTAAACAAATATAGCGGTGCTTAAAATATAAATGCATCTCTATGATTTACGGTTTGATGATCAAGTCTGCGAGGAGAAGTAAAACGACGATGCCTACAGCGAAATACGCGAACTCGGTCGTAGCTGTAGGAGGTAACATATAATATTATTATTTTTGTGCGTTTTTGCCTTCCGGCGGGTACACGATTTTTCGTCGATATAAAACACGAAGATAAGACAGGACGTACCTGTTGTACTATATATTTAAAATTATTGTGTCCAATGTCCCGTATAATATAGGTAATATTATTATTATCATGACGAGTATTATGGAGTATTGCAGGCAGCAGTTATAATAAGGGAGTTATTGTAGTTACAATCGGCAAATTAATGATTATTCCAACTGAAATCCCATTCGATTAGTAATAACTAATAATAGTAATAATAATGTATTGTCGTTTATTATATTGTATTAGGTAATACATAGTATACCTAGCTGGTCCAGGTGTCTACTGCACGTGTATGCCGACGCCACCCATAGTAATATTATTATGTTCGATTGCCGTGTTGCATAAAACACAAAATACGCTGCTTGTTCGTAATATTCAAAAAAATACATTTGTATTATGTTTCACATACATTGTATTGCGTAATATTCGATCTGGCGCCACAATAATATTTTACTATTGTGGATGTATATTTTATTTACTTGTAACATTTAAAGAATTAAAATACAAGTGTATTGAAGTACAATTAGTTTTGATTGAAAGTATAATAACATTAATAATTATTAATAACTATTATAACATTTAATTTTAATAGCATCAATAGCGTTACAAGATATTTTAGACAGTTTGATTTGATTTTATTGATATTTTCTGGGCTATTTGTTTATTGTGTTTGAGAATAATATAATATAATTATTTTTATTAATAATGAAAGAATCTAAATTATATAAAAACATCGTGGAGAAAAAAAAATGTAATTTGAAAAATAATCGAACATCAAATTTTGTGACATTTTCTTTATGATTGTATTCTCACTCAAACACAAGTTAATGGAAAAATTAATAATAATATGGCCAATACTCGAAATTTTGCAAATAATTATTTAAAATTTAAAAATAATAAACTTCATGTTAGTTCGCGTAAATAAACTAGCTGTATACTTGAGTATTAAATTAGGAATTGAATAATTATATTTTTGAAATATTTCAAACAGGAATACAGTAAATGATATAAAGATATGAACTTTCAATCTTAGCCTAAAAAAGTAGTATATCAATAAGTATTATTCTATACATAAGAAGATATTATTAAGTATTTAGACAGTAAAGTAAATATAGCAATAATATTCTAACAATAAGAAACTATACAA